CCTCCCCCGACACTCCCATCCCTGCCTTTCCCCCACACCCATGGGCAGGTGCGGATGTCCGGCCTGTGGGAATCTCTGAGGGGTGTGGCTATGTGAGGGTCTTGGATCCCTGAGGAGGGGTGGACCGTAAAGTGCAGAGAGTTTCTAAAATGAGGCTCAGGCCTTCTAGCTTTGAGTTACTGAACAAACTACTACATACATAAGTAAAGCTGGGATGCCCTGGGAGGCAGCCCTGCCCCACAGCCTCAGTTTCCCTGTCTGTAAAACGGAAATGATGACTTCCCTGCTCTGTTTATATTTGGGAAGATGGTTGCGAGGTTAAATACAATTCTATTTGTGGTGGGGATGCCATCATCATCATTAATTATTAATAAAGGAGAAATCTCTGCTGGAGAAGCCCCAGAAGGGGGGCATATCGAGGGCGCTCTCAGGGGAGCTACAGGCAGGAGAGGCCTGGAGTCCATATTGCAGGTGCCCTGTGGCTGTATCCAGGCCTTGCCTTGAGTTCCAGGGCGATCTCCAATCACCTGAGGGCTTCCTCTGGAGGATCAGCCCCTGCCTCATCTCATGGCGAGTGAAATGCAGGATACAGTACATCACTCCTCTCCCCCCATGGGAAGAGGCTGGGGGGTGGCCCCACGCTGCCTCCCAGCACCCTTGTGGGAGGAGGCTCCAGTTCCTCATCATGGGAACATTCCACCTTCACTGGCCGCCTCCCTTCCCAGCTTCACTCCCCCTCTGCCTTAGGAGGTATCCAGGGAAATAAACCACCTCCCAAATAAACCACTTCCACCCCAATCCTCATCCCAGGGTTGCTCCCTGGGGAATCCAAACTAAGGCCTACAATGCTCCTAAAATTTCCACGGCCCAAACAAGAAAAAAGTATCAAGTATCAAGGCCAGAGGAATTCTATAAAAAGAAAGAAAGCACGTGGAGACAATCTAAATTAGAAGTTTTTAAACTTTCCATTTTAGAACTGGATCCTTTTTCCTTTTTCAAAAATAGGTTTCATGTAAATACATGCCCAGAACAATGCCTGGCACACAGTAAATGCTGAAAACATCTAAGTGAAGGAGTGACTGTTATGTATAAGTTATTTTAAAGTGATACTGGCCTGATGAGTGGGGGAGGAGTCCTGAGCCTGGCCCCTCCTCCTCCCTGGCTCATCCCCCACCGTGAGCACCCAGGTGGATGGAGCTCATATCCTATATCCTGCACATGAACTGGCCAAGGGCTGTATCGCAGATCGGAGGCAGGGTTGGGCCTGAACCCCTGGCCTCTACTTCTCCTGTGAAGCTTCCCCTTCCCGCAACACCTTCAATCCCCTTCCACCCACTGCCCAGCACTGACCTGTGATGGTGAGGATAGAGAGTAAGATGGCTACCACTGCCTGGATGCTCACGCCCACCTGGGCGGCCATATCCTCGCAGAAGGTGAACTCGCCCTGCTCGTTGCACTTGCACACGGCCACGGTCAGTGTGCTGGTGCCCGTTCGGCTTGGCATGCCGTTGTCTGAGATGACCACGGGTAGGAAGTGGACCTTGGTATGCTCCCGGTCAAACTGCCCGTACTTGACTGTGATGTTGGCCGTGTTATCTGGAAACACCAAGGCCTCGGAGTCGGGCTTTGCCATCTGCACAGATGGGGAAACTTGGCTCCTCCAGGAAGCCTTCCCTGACTGCACCAGCCCACGTGCTGCCTGGGCTGCTTTTCTGCCCTTTGCACCCAGCACCTCTTGTTTCAGCCATCTGAGTGCAGGCCTGTTCCTCCATAAAGGGGATATTTTGGGGCGGCTGCTTTGACCCAATCTCCGAGAATGCCTTGGTGAAAGAAGGTAAAATCCTTTGCTTTCTGTATTTGTGAGCAACTGATGCCTGTCCCCTTCCTCTTCTCTAACCCCACTCCAGTATCAGGAGGTTTCTCTTTCAGCTCTATTAATGAATGCCCTGTTTCAAGCTTTGACAAGCAATGGGGAAAAATAAAGTTTTAAAAAGTCTTTTAGCATTAGGTTAACTTCTAAGGCAGCTTCAGCTATCTCTGAAAATCCATTGTTACATTGTTGAAAACAATGGGCATGTCCCTCGGGGCACAGAGAAAATGATTACATATAGAATTGTGGGTTTCCTCGGCAGTTTGGAACTGGGAAATGCTTTTGTCCAAATATTGGCCCCGCCCACCTTCCCAGATCCGATCAGTGATTTCCTGTACCCAAGAATCCCCCAGGGAGCTTTTAAAACACGCTGATTTTCAGACCCCTATGATCACACACACATCTTATTCAGTGGTTCTGGGCAGAGGCCAGATAATCTGCCTTTTGCAGGGTCTCAGGAGGTTGTAATGTCAATGATCAGAGAAGGATCCAGGAACTCTCTGCTCCAGGATTTACATAGCTACACAGGCTCCACACACTGGATTGAAAAGCCCAGGAATCCATCTTTTAGATTTTGAATGAAAGCCAACTATATTTCATTATTCATACAGGCTTGCCTCCTATTGTATATGGGTGTCTTTGGGGTGGCACTGAATCTTTCTACTGTATTGCAGATCCCTACTCTGAGATGGGACTGAGGTGGACATTGGGGAGGAGGTGACATTTTTGCCACATTATTTAATTCTAATGACAACTGGGTGTTGAGTGGTCTGTCATTGACTTGTCAACACATCAGGGCCACCTTCTCCATCCCACAGGAGTCTCCTTAAGGACTGGTCTGTGGCTGATCCCTCAAGTCTGCCTCCAACTCTCAGGGACCCCACTCCCCAATCTTCCTCAAAGGTAGCAATGGGCTGCTGCAATACAGCCATCCTCATCCACCATAGTTTTGCCCATTAGGGACAGGCAAGAATTCCATCCCATGCTGGGTGAAGGATCACTCTGCTTGAACCCAAGGGGAATTTTCTCTATTTTTCTGAGGAAATTTCAGAGGCTGTGGAAGCTTGCCTACTTGTGGCTGGAATGAAGTCAACTCAGCATCATCATTCAAGTCGGCACCTGCTCCTTAGAAGCTCCGATTGGCTGCTAATGACATCACACGGCCACCCTGCTAATCGTGAGTAGTCATTGTAGCTGAATTAAAACAAAGCTCACTGTATCCTTGGGATTTAGGACTTCATATTTCCAGTTTTGACTCTTTGGGAGTGACCTCAAAGTTCCATGTTTAATTTGCAGTTTTGCTGATGCAGAGAGCCTCCAGTGTGGGAGGGGACTCCTTGGCTAGTTCTTCAACAGAGCTGACTGCCTGCATCCCCACATCTGTTCTGTACTCCTTGCTGGCTCCTTGCAGGCGATGTGGACTTGGGAGTTTGGATGGAGTATCTCTGATCATTGCACAGACCAATTGTACAATGTACGTGGCAGGAATTGTACAAAATATCTAATGATTTGAAAATCCCAGTGGGAGCCTGCCCTCAATTTGCTGGCCTGGTCTTTGACCTTGGTGCCTCAAGACTCAACCTCACCCCGACCCTGTTAGTGCCAACTGACTGCATTTGTTCTTTTTTGGAGACGGGGTCTCGCTCCATTGCCCAGGCTGGAGTGCAGTGATATGATCATAGCTCACTGCAGCCTCAAACTCCTGAGCTCAAGTGGTCTTCCTGCCTCAGCCTTCTGAGTAGCTGGCACTACACGCATGTCTGAACTGATTACTTTGATGCCTACCGTGATTATCCGTGAGGGTAAAGTTGTTCTCAGTATTCAGGGTGAATTTGAACTTTACATTTCGTGGTGTTATGTCCTTGTCTATTGCGGAGATCTGCAGGACCAGCTGGGGTGTGGAAGACAGGAGATAGTCAGTGATGGTGGTGGGGTGGTCTGAAGTTTAGCGATGGAGCCCTTGGGTTTAGACCTGACCATGGCTGTTTCCCACCTGCAACACTCGCCTATTTAGTTCTTCATAAAGCCACTCTTTCTACTCCCCTGCCCTGCCAATATACTCCCCATACATTCTCTCTGAGCCTCAGTTTCTCTACCTGTACAATGGGCATAATGTTATTTTCCTCAAGGCTATTGTACAGGGGAACTCTTGCTGACTCTGTTGAACAGTTCTGCCCCTCAGCCTGCCCCAGGGTGGTGCTGCCTTCCCCTCCCACCTGAACCAGACTCACCTGGCCATGGGCAGCATTCTCACACACTTTGGGCTGGTAGGGCTGGGCAAACTCCGGGGCATTGTCATTCTCATCCAAAACTTCAATGTGGACTTGCACAATGGATTCTTTTCCTGTGGGGGTTCCTGCAGGGGAGAAGACTGTCACCATTATGGGCTCAGCTGATGCTGGCCCTGGGGGTGGAAGATGTGTGGAAGGAGGGCTGCCCTATGGAGGCCACTTTTTGTAGGAGGCGGCTGTGGAACAGAGGCCCGGGATGGTGTTCCGGATGAAAGGAGTTTGGTGGAGGGGGAGGTGTGAAATCTTCATCCATAAGGTTTACTGAGGTATTACTTTGATTATGAGAATCAAAAAGGTAAACCACCTAAGAGCATTAAAAATATTGTAATTAAATTTCTAAAATTAAAAATTTCATTATTTGATTAAATACCTAAAACATAATAAATTAATCATAAAAGAATTGAAAAGGTAAACAACCTAAGTAAGATTGGTCAGTAAATTAGGCCACTGGAAAAGAATGAAATATATGGCCACTGACAATGCCTATGTAAATTACATCTTAAAAATATAATTAAAAAAATTTTAAGGCCAGGTGCTATGACTCATCCCTGTAATTTCACACTTTGAGAGGCCCAGAAGGGAGGATTGCTTGAGGCCCAGAGTTGGAGACAAGCCTGGGAAACATGGTGAGACCCCATCTCTACAAGAAACTAAGACATTTCCTGGGTGAGGTGGTGCATGCCTGTAGTCCCAGCTACTCAGGAGGCTGAGTGGGAAGGATCATTTGAACTCAGGAATTAGAGACTGCAGTGAGCTGTGATTGTGCCACTGCACTTCATCCTGGGTAACAGAGTGAGACCCTGTCTCTCCCTTAAAAAAAAAATTAGCACCATGAGAAAGTGGTTCTGGAATAAAGTTAAGTAAAAATGCGGAATATATTATCTTACACAAACATTACGATCTCATGTAAGTATAAAAATATGTATAGAAAAAACAAAAATACAAGAATGTGCTAACAGTAACTGTCTCTGCATGGTGGCATTGGTGGGAGGAGTATTTTCTTCTCTTTTTCTGTATTTTCCACATTTTAAACTATTGAAGTATAAAGATTCTATTAATGGGATTATGTGGAGGAGAAAGAAGCAAAAACTGATCTGGCCAAACATGCAGGAGTCCATTACAGTTTGGGGCAGCAGCTGTGTTGGCAGAAGTGAGTCTGGGTGGGCCTGGCAGGCTCCAGGGATCCTTGGCCTAGTGGGCTCCTGGGTAAAGTGGAGTATTAATAATTCTCCTGGAGGGTGATTGTGATTTCCTCATATAGATAAAGGATGCAAAACTCCAACTCTTGCCCCTCCCTCTGGCAAAAATTACACAATTTCTGGAGAACCTCACAATCTCAAAGTTGGAAGCTGCTTCACATTTTGAATTCTACCTATTAACTGGTGCATAAACACCCTCTGAAGGAACATTTCCCAAACAGCCATGATACTAAGAATCATGGGACCCTTGTTAAATGCACATCTCTGGCTCACTGGACCAGAACCTGCAGGGTGGAGTAGAGCTTTATGCTTAATAGGTGCCTTGGGTGATTCTCGTCACAGACACATCTGCACAGCCTGTTTCATGACAGTACTTTTCAAACTGTGACATGCATGAGATTCTGATTCAGTGTGGGGGTGAGGCTTGAGATGCACTTCCAACAAGGTCTCAGGAGATGTTGATACTGCTGGTTCAAGGACCACACTTAGGCATGGAAGCTCTATAGCATCCCAACCAGCGGGTGCTTCAGCAGGCACTTCTAATACCCCTGGAGACCCCAAATGATTGATTATGCCAGTTGGAAGAATGAAGGAAAAGGAAAAGAACCCAGGTGCCCTGGCAGATGCGGCCACTCACCAGTGGAATCCAGTTCTTTGGCCTCCACAGTCAGGTTATACCAGGGGTAGACTTCTCTGTCCAGTTCTTTCTCATTGTAAATGTCTCCCTTTTTTGTGACTCGGAAGAACTGGCCCTTGTCACTGGTCCTGCGGATGGAGTATCTGCCCAGGGGAGAGAGTTTCATGGCTTTCCAGTGTTCTTTGCTGAGTCTACACTCCTCAGCATGATGGACAAGGCCCTTCTGCATCTGTCCCCTGCATCCCACTCCACGCCCCTCTCTCACTGCTCATTGCACTCTGCCACTCAGACAAGAGTGGACCTACACAGAGGGATTCAGGATAACAAGATAATATCTTTGATCTTAGTTACATTGCCATCACTGGACTGAAGGTGGTACCTGAGACCATCAGATGCACTTTCAGAGCTGAACAGGTGACATCACACCACAGCTGGGACTTGTTTTAGTGATTAATGAAAAGATCATTGGGCAAGAGCCAGGAAGGAATACAAAAAGAGCTGGAAGAAATATGAAGTAATTACAAAGAAATTAACTTTGTGAAATAAAAAATTTAAAAAGTTATTTCAGAAATCAGGAAAAATCTATTGAAAGATAAATATATATGTTTCGTGTATATAGGAATAATAGTTGCTACCAATGAGGAAAATCCCAGAACAAACAGAGCAGAAGAAATAACAAAAAAAAAAAAAAAAAAAAAAAAAGAAAAGAAAAGAAAACTTTCCTGATCTGAAGAAAGTTTTGAGCCTACAGATTATAAGGTGTCATTGACATCAGGCATCATTGAAAAAAAAAAACCCCAATATTTAGGCATATCCTGATGACACGTACAAATTTCAAGGCTGTCTGAAGAAATTGAAAAGAGTCCAGACAGAAAGAAATAATTTCCTTATGAAGAAAGAAAAAGCAGATTTGCCTCAGATGCCCCCACAAAATTAAATACTAGAATACATTGACAGTATTTTTGAAGGGAAGTGTTTATAATCTGAGGATTATATGAATGCATCTAGGTGTTATTAGAAGGCAAGGTTGGGCGTGGTGGCTCACACCTATAATCTGAATGCTTTGGGAGGGGCTGAAGCTGGAGGTTTGCTTGAGGCCAGGAGTTCAAGACCAGCCCAGGTGATAGAGTGAGACCCTGTCTCACCAAAAAAAAAAAAAAAAAAAAAAAAAAACAAACAAACAAAAACACAAAAAAACATTAGCCTGGTGTGGTGGTGTGTGCCTGTAGTCCCAGATACTCAGAGGCCGAGGTGGGAGGGTTGCTTGAGCCTAGATGTTCAAGGCTGTAGTGAGCTATGGTTGTGCCACTGCACTCCAGCCTGGGTGACAGAGGAAGAACCTGTCCCCGCCATCCAAAAAAAGGCAAAGAACTAAGATATTTGTGTCCTGAATTTTTTTTTGAAAACTTACTGTATCTAACTAAACATCTCAATATAAGGTAAACACCTGGTATGGGAAGAATTAAAACAAACTATTGATTTGTTTATCATACACAGAAAAGCAATGGGTGTGTGTGTATGTATAATAGTTTTAACTGGAAAATATAGGTCCAAGGAAACATTTTAAATTTTGCAGATGGAAGTAAATCTCACTGGTAGAAATAAAAATGGAGGCACCTCATCCAAATATCTAGGAGAAAAAAAAAATAAAGAAACATAGACTGTATAGCAAAGCTGGGGAAAAAGAAAAAAACCATTAAGTTTGATAAATGAGAAATGTAAAACAAGATAAAAGCAGTAAGATCAAACATATCAATCATGATGAAAAATGTAAATAGGTTAAACACAAAGCATTTCAGTTAGATTAAAAATCAAAGCCAAATGCATTCTTGTTTTCAAGAGACAACTTAATGCCAAATGACCTGAAAAAGTTAAAAGTAAAAGTTGGAAAATTTGCATTAGGCGAATATGAATAACATGAAAACAGGACTAACAAATGTAACATCAGGAAACAGAATTAAAGGCAAAATATTTAAGCAGAACAAATTGGCCAATTACATTCGGATAAAAGTTACAAGCCATAATGAAGGTAAAATAGTTGCAAGCCTTTGTTAACTGAGTGGAAAAATTAAAATACATAAAGTCAAAACTTAGATATTCTAGGAAGAAGTGGACACAAATACAATTGTATCACATCACAGAACAAGCTAAAGCAAAACCAAAAAAATACCCTATGACTTATAAATGAAAATAAAGAAACCAAGTCAATCTCTTAAATAAACTCTTGGATCAAAGGAGAAACAAAAATTATAATTACAGGCTATTTAGAATAGAATGGCCATGAAAACAGTAGTCCTAAAACTTAGGAGATGAGGCCAAAATGTAAGAACATATTTTGTCCTTAATAAGAAGACTTAATACCCTTGAAAGATTAGCTATACCAGGCCGGGCGCGGTGGCTCAAGCCTGTAATCCCAGCACTTTGGGAGGCCGAGACGGGCGGATCACGAGGTCAGGAGATCGAGACCATCCTGGCTAACACGGTGAAACCCCGTCTCTATTAAGAAATACAAAAAAAACTAGCCGGGCGAGGTGGCGGGCGCCTGTAGTCCCAGCTACTCGGGAGGCTGAGGCCGGAGAATGGCGTGAACCCGGGAGGCGGAGCTTGCAGTGAGCTGAGATCCGGCCACTGCACTCCAGCCTGGGCAACAGAGTGAGACTCCGTCTCAAAAAAAAAAAAAAAAAAAAAGAAAGAAAGATTAGCTATACCAAAATTAATATATAAACACTAATGTTTATAATATACAAACATTAGAATTCTAATGTTTTAAAAAAACCTGGATACAAAATTTTAAATTTCACAAAAGAAAAAATGAGAGTTGACAAAAAATTATGTCAAATAAAAAAGCAACAAGGGAACAACTTTTATGTATATCTAAGGTCTAGTGTAAAGCTATATGGTTTGGATCTATGTCCCCCCCACCGAATCTCATGTCGAAATGTAATTCCCAGTGTTGGAGGTGGGCCCTGATAGGAAGTGGATAGATGGGGCAGAGTTCTCATGAATGGATTAGCACCATCCCCTAGGTTCTGTTCTCACGATAGTGAGTTATCATGAGATCAGGTTGTTGAAAAGTGTGTAACAACTCCCTTCCCACTCCTGTTCTGGCCATGTAAGACATGCCTACTTTCCCAGGATTGTAAGTTTCCTGAGGCCTCCCAAGAAGCAGAAGCCACTATACTTCCTGTATAGCCTGTGGAAATGTGAACCAATTAAACCTCTTTTCTTTATAAATTACCCAGTCTTAACTATTTCTTTATAGGAGAATGGACTTATACAAGCTAGTAGAATAAAATAGAATGGCTTTGCTATAGAACAATAGATAGGACAGAGAATTAGAAGTAGATTCAGGTATATACAGAGAACTTAGTATATAACAAAGGTGGGAAAATGATAACTTATTATTATAATATTTAGTAAATGGTGCTGGCAAAATCTGCTATTCATCTGCAATAAAATTAAATTTAATTGAATTTATACTTACTATTGCATATTATATGGCTCTAAAAAGTATCTGTTGGAACAATATCATTTTTTTCTAAATATTGTAAAAGAGAAATTTAGTTAAGATAGAAGAGCAAATATCGATGAAATGAGCATGACATGATCCAAAAAAAATTTAAAACAATCAAACACCAAAAGCAAACAGACAACAACAAACCCACCACAAATGCATCCATATATTTGTGTGGTCATGAAAAGAAAGGAGCAATAGGACCAGGTCAGGCCACGAACATGAGTTATCTGACAGTGGGGGTTATCAATGTTTTCTTGGTAGATCTTTGTGTTGTTTCACTGTATGAAATGAACACTTCTTACTTTTGTGGTTTGGGGGAGATAGATTCAAGAATACAGTTTTAATGTCTCTGGTGTGTCATCTGATTGGTTGCTCTCTTGACTGTCAGATCTTACCACATAGGACTGGTGAGAGCTGTGGTGCAGAGAACAAGCCTTCAAGGCGGGACAGAGGACAAGTAGCTCTGGATGCCCAGGACCATGCTAGGTGGGGGAGCCTGCGCAGGTCAAGATGCCAGGCTGCCAAGTGCAAGAGCTTGGGCTTCTTATCTTGCCTCTGTCACTTTCCCCGTAAGTGCCAGGAGAAGCCAGTTCCCCTCTGTGAGTCCTGGCTGCAGACCAGCAGGCATAGGCACATCCAGGCCAGATTGTCCTCATCATCCTCATCGACAATGCTTACCCAATGCCCTTACCCAATGCTATGCCTAGCCGCGTCGGGGTCCATGGCCAGCACTGTGCCAATCAGAGGCTTCTTCTGGTTTTCCTTCAGCTGGAAGTGGTAGAAAGGCTGCTGGAAGATGGGGGGCTCGTCCACATCTGTGATGTTTATGATGACCTGGGCTCTGTTTCCGGCGGGAGGGCTCAGGTATCGGAGGTCGATGGTGGGATCTGTGGCCTCGACAATGAAACTATATTGTTGGATGTATTCGTAATCCAGAGGCTGCATATGAAAAAAGGATGGTGAGTGCCTGCTCTGGGCCAAGCATGTGGGTGGCACATGATCTGCACAGCAACTGTGCAAGGCAGTACCAGGACGACACCCATTTTATAGATGAGAGGCCCATGGCCTTGACAAGTGATATTTCTGAGGTCATCAAGACAGCAGCTGGGCCTAATGTCTGTCTTCAGCTGCTCCCCATTTCATCTCAGCAGCCTCATGGCCACACCCACAACCCTGGCTCTTTGCCTGGCTCTGTTTCCAGCGTTTGGGACATGCAATGGATCAACTATGGTCCTACTCTTAAGGGCATCACTGGTGGTTCTACCCACAGGTCCTTAAGGACAGGCTTTTTCTTTATTTTTGAGACAGAGTCTCACTCTTGGTGCCAGATCGGAGCGCAATGGTGCGATCTCGGCTCACTGCAACTTCTGCCTCCCAGGTTCAAGCGATTCTCTTACCTCAGCCTTCTAAGTAGCTGGGATTACAGGCACCTGCCACCACGCCCAGCTAATTTTGGTATTTTAAATAGAGACAGGATTTCACCATATTGGCCAGGCTGGTCTCAAACTCCTGACCTCAGGTGATCCACCTGCCTTGGCCTCCCAAAGTGCTGGGATTACAGACGTGAGCCACCAGGCCCGGTCAGACATGCTTTTTCTTTATACCTTTGCTCAAGATGCTTCTCCTGCCCTTGCCTGCCTAGAAAACTCCTACTCATCCCTCAGGAAGCCAAACAGAAGGTAATCAGATGCTCTCTCAGAAACCGCTCCCAGCAGAGGTAATTGCTCCCTGTTCAGAGCTGCTGTGTATCACTTATACCTGGCTATACTTTTTTTGTTCATGCATATGTCTTCCCCATTTGCTGAGAGATTTGCTGACACTGGAGGCTGTGTCTGCCTCTCCTTGGTGTTTCCAGGCCCCAGCATGGGGCTGGGTCAGAGAAGGACTCAGGCCCAGGACTTGCAGTATTCTGCATGGCCATTCCAGAGGCATTTTTTAATGCCCCCCACAGGTCCTCTCCCTCCTCTTCCAGATTCAGTTGATCTGGCTTCTCTGACTGTCAGCAGCATCCATTGTCAGTGGCCATCCATTTCATCACAATTACTCCCTGTTTTCTTCATGCTGATGGATTTCTACTGGCCAGGACACAGGGCAGGCCAGAAAGTGCCAGAGAGGTAAAACCTCCAGGAGCAGTCCTGTCAACGCTACAGGAAGTGGGTGTATAAATACCCCAGCTCCCTCACCCTCAGCTGCTGCAACTCTGAGATATTTTCCACACTGACCCCCAAAAAGGGTCATTGCTCCTGGGGCTTCCTGGGGTCACCTCCCAGATAAATGATTTATACCCAATCTTTGCCTTAAGATCTGCTTCCCGAGTAACTTGCCCTAAGACACTGGATCACAGTCTCCATGAACACATGACCAGCTGGGAGCTTTGATGGTCCTTTGATGGTCTCTGGCCCAAGAGCAACCCCCAGGCAGGACCTGTGGGTGCCAAGAGCCCCAAGCCCCATGTTTGATGTTGTTACCATTGGCCTACAAACCTTCATGGGCTTGATGATGCCCTCGTTGTGGGTGGGGTTTGTCTCAATGGTGAAAGCGTCCTGGTAGTCGCCCCGCAAGATGCTATACTTGGTCATCCGATTCTGGGGCTCATCTGGGTCTTCAACAAACAGAGAGCCCACAGAGGTGCCCACACGGGTGTCCTCAGGCACGACAAATGTGTACTTGGCTGATGCAAACAGAGTACCCGAAAGGGCATTGGGTTAATGAGATAGACAAGGCGATTGTCTCTTTCAGCTATTCTAACATATTTTGAGACAAGAAATGGGCATAATAAAATAATCATAAATAATAATATCCCTGAGATTCTCAAGATAAAGAAGGTCTTCCCTATCTGTGTGTCCATCCATCTATCCCTCCATCCAATAAATAGCTATTAAGCACCTATTATATGCCAAGCACTTTGCTAGGGGACCTATCAATGGACAAGAGAGACAAGTCCTGCCTTCAGGGAGCTTATGCCATGTACAAGGAAGCCACTTCAGGACAACTGGCCTGTCTCTAGGGCGGCTGAATGACTGAACGACAGCATCAGCACTGGGAGTTGCAAGCAAGAGCCATCTGCCCCAGGGTATGGGAAAAGCTCTCATCAGACATTCTTTGTGGGGAGGATCAGTCTGTAGGTGGGGTCAGGGCCCAGCCCTGGCTCTGGATATAGAACTTTGCTGTCCCCATGTTCACTGGCTTGTGGGAATTTCTAGCTGGGACCTGAGTCTCAGGGCTTTGATTTTACAAGCCCATGGGATCTTGGTGAAACTGCTTGTGTCTCATGGTGGGACATCGTACAGTGGTGGCACCCAGCAAGGAGTGGGATTTCCCTCTGGCCTATGAGGGGATTGTGGCAGGGGGCAGCAGGATGGCCTTGGGAATGTGGTACTGGGATGGAAACAGGGCCCCTCCCTTCACCCAAAGGACTCCTTTGGGCATCAGGCCTACCCTGGGATAGAGGGAGAGGTAAAGGGATTTGTAACTCTTCTCCCAGAGCCCCAAGTCACTGAGTCTGGGGTATCCCAGCCCCCCTTCCCAGGGCCCTAGAGGAGGGGCTCACTCTGGGTGAAGAAGGGGAAGTTGTCATTGATGTCTTGCAGAGTGACCAGCACGGTGGCCGTGCCCGAGTCCCCCCGGAGGCCCTGGGCATCTCGCGCTTCCACCACGATCTCGTACCTGGCCTGCTTCTCTCGGTCCAAGCTTTTGGTTATTGTGACAATACGTCCTGCAAAAAGAGTCCCAGCAGGAGCCATGTTACCAGCTTCTAGAAAATACTGACGCCTGGAGCCTGCCCAGAGAGAACCCGATTTAAGAGCATCCCAGGTGATTCCACTGTGCAACTGGGGCTGAGAACTGTGAGTCTACAACCCACTACCTCCATGGTGTATACTGTGAGGCCGAAGCTGGCCCAATAGTTGGGTTCAGTATTGGTTCTCGCCACCTGAAATATTGTGTTGACAAAGACCATGAGGCCATATCTAGGCTCAAAGGGAAAGAGTTCTGTGATAGATTAGTGATGTCTGCCTTGTTGCACTGTAGCATAGTAGTGGCATCTGTGCTACATATTTGCCATCTCTCTGAAAGACAGTTCCACTGGACTTCTGTCTTGCTCGCAAGAGTCAGTCCTTACATTTTTTGTTAAGTCACCACATGAGCAATTACTATGGGCCTTGTTATACAATCTAACTCAAACTTTACAGCTACCATACAATATAAATATAAGCATTCCCACTTCCTAGATGAGGGAACTAGGGCTTGCAGAAGTTAGTTGATTTGTCCAAGGTCTCTAGAGGGGGTGAGTAGCAGAGCTGGCTTTGGAATCCAGATCTGTCTGAACCTGCACCCAGAGCAGCTAGCCAGCATCCTCTGCTACCCCTTGGTCACTTCTTGGGTAACGAGATCCTGATTTTGTTCCCTGGACTTGAGTCCATGTCTTGGGCACCTGCCTGCTTCCTTCTCCCTTGACCAGCCGCCTTGTCTTTATGTATGATACTGACTACTTCCATGGCACAGTGTGGTTCAGTGGCAGTGACACCTGTCAGCCTGGACTTCCCTTAGCACATGCACCTGGAGTATCCACCTCCCCTCGTCCCTCCAAGTCAGTGACTGTCCAGGAGTGTTAGTCACACAGACCAGAATTATCGATGGCAAAATACTCTTTCCCCTTCAGGATTTGGTACATGACAGAGGCGTGGTCCCCCACAGTGGGGTCGTCTGCATCCACTGCTGTCACAGAGATGACCGAGGTCCCTGCAGAGAGAGAATCCTGGGGTTACTGACTTGTGACTACAAGGCCCCTTACCCCATTCCTGGAAGACAGCAGATGGGGCTCAGGCTGTGCTCTGTCCCTACCTCCCCCAGGTCCTGGGAAGAAAAGGCTGTTTTATTTTCTGAGGAGCCTGCATGGGGTCAAAGTGCTGGTGGCAGTGGAAGCCCAGCCAGGTCAACCTTGAAGGAGTCAAAGAGATCAGGTGGCTTGTGTGCTCCCTGGGGAAAAGATGGAGGGGGTAGAGGGTTGGGGTCAGGGAGAGACACCGAGGACAGCAATGAACTGCTTCTCCCTCTCCTGGAAAGGTGCCCCCAAAGGGGTAGTGTCACTTCTCGCATCCCCTTGAACTCCAGATCATACACTCAACCGAAAGGTCTGGTCCTAGGGCCCTGGCTGGAGACTCTGGACTAAGGGGGTGAGGAGGGAAGCTCTTTTCTGGCACCCCCTGGAGTCTGGGGGGTTCTGAAGAGGTAGAGTAATAACCTCCTGAGCCCAGAGCCCAGGCTGGTGACACACCTTGGGGCTAGTGCTCTGTTCCCCACACCACTCCTGCATGGCCCCTAGAGATGAATCCTTTTGCCTTAGTGGCAGGCCATGACAGTCTTCACATGTAAAGGCTATACTCTTTGTGTGCTAGTCCTGAGAGTCAGAGGCAGTGGGTGGAGTTTGTTCCAAAGAGTAGTGAGATACGTTTGTGCCTCTGATGGCCGGGGTGAGTTCATGATCAAAATCAGGGCACAGTCTATGACTAGGGGCAGGATTCAGTCCATGATCAGAATCAGGGCTCAGTCTATGACTAGGGTCAGGGCTCAGTCCATGATCAGGATCAGGGCTTAGTCTATGACTAGTGTCAGGGTTCAGTCCATGATCAGGATCAGGGCCAAGTTTATGACTGTAGTCAGGGCTCAGTCCATGATTAGGATCAGGGCTAGGTCTAGGACTAGGGTCAGGACTCAGTCCATGATCAGGATCAGGGCTCAGTCTATGACTAGAGTCAGGGCTCAGTCCATGATCAGGATCAGGGCTTAGTCTATGACTAGGGTCAGGACTCAGTCCATGATCAGGATCAGAGCTCAGTCTATGACTAGAGTCAGGGCTCAGTCCATGATCAGGATCAGGGCTTAGTCTATGACTAGTGTCAGGGTTCAGTCCATGATCAGGATCAGGGCCAAGTTTATGACTGTAGTCAGGGCTCAGTCCATGATTAGGATCAGGGCTAGGTCTAGGACTAGGGTCAGAGCTCAGCCTGTGGCCAGATCAGAGCTTGTTAGGAACTAGAGTTTCTTTCAAATCATATAAAGTGGCAACACAGGCCTTACAATCACTGCCCTGAACTCACTGGATTCCTACCCCAGGCAGTGAAGTGGCTGATGTGAGAGGTGCCCCCAGGTTGGGGATGAGGGAGGGAGGAGGGAGAAGAAGGAGGACAGAGTGGGCATACAACGTACCCACAGCCGATGACTCAGGCACGGACGCATTGAACAACCGATGCGTGAACACAGGCCAGTTGTCATTCACGTCATGAACTTTGATGGTGAAGCTTGAAGGAGTCTCCAGGTTTTCGCCAGTGTCCTTGTCCACAATGACAGCAGTGAGGTGGTACTCTGAGATGTTCTCCCGGTCCAGCCTCTCAATGGCAAACACGTCTCCTGTTTCTGCATCGACCCGGAAGACCTTGTCCACAAATTCTCCTTTGAGCAGGTACTTGGCGTTCTTGCGACTCACACTTGACTTGATCTAGAAAAGAAGAGGTGACGTGAACTGGGAATGGGTAGCGGCGGCTGCATGTGAGAGTATGTGAATGAGAATGTGTATACAAGTGTGCATGTGCATGTGTGTGCATGTGTGTTTGTGGTGTGTGTGGTGCTGGCCAGGGTCTCTAAGTGTGACACTGAGGTTTTTATCAAGAACCTCTGGCAGCCATAAAAAAGAATAAAATCATGTCCTTTGCAGCAACATGGATAGAGCTGCAGGCCATAATCCTAAATGAACCTAAGTGAACTAACCCAGAAGCAACAAATCCAACACCACATATTCTCATTTATAAGTAGGAGCTAAACAATTGGTACATATGACCATAAAAATTGAAATAATCGACACTGGGGATTCCCATAGAGGGGAGGTTGGGATAAGGGTGAGCGTTGACAAATAACCTATTGGCCATAATGCTCACTATTTGGGTAATGGGTACGCTAGAAGCCCAATCCCCACCAGTATGCAATATACATGTAACAAACATGGACATGTACCCCCGAAAATAAAATTTTTAAAAAGTCAAAAAGAACCTCTGACTAGTCACCAATGAATTGTTCTCATGGTGTGAGTTGCCTGGCAGAGTCCCAATATGCCTAGAATGGTGCCTGAACAGAGTAGGTGCTTAGAAAACTTTTTTTTTTTGAGTGGAAAAATATACTTGGTGCCATTGGAAGGCAAAGGATATTTTTGCCCTGTAGAAGTCACTTAACCTCTCTGAGTTTTAGTTACCTCACTTGTAAAACGGAAATAATATCGCTTCTGATGTTGCTTTGCTCTGAGTAGAACAGCACCTTGGAAGATGAGTTCTGGGAAACACTGAACTCTTTTGCTGTTCCACACAAAGATGGGGTCCTAGCCAGTGGTGTGCTGGCACTGGATTGTATCAGCTTGGCTTTTGAGAACCAGCTTAAATTTTCAGGAATATTTGTGAGCTGATTGTTAAATACAGCCATTATTACAAATTAAATTATGTAAACTTACAATTAAATAAATCTTATGAAAAACAACAAATTCCCAGAATTCATCGCTTCCTAATTATTTTGCTACCTTTGATTACGTTTTGAGGTTATCTGTGTTTATGGTATCTGTATGATGGAAATACTAAATAATGATGCGCTCATGAGTATCTTCTCCCATCTTGTCTTGGCCTTCGATGACATCACATCGATAGCTTGAAATGAGACATGTTGAGAGTATTTACACTGTGGAAATTGGCAAGTACTACAAATCAAACCCTTTCCCCTGGACAGCCAGTTGTCAAACATTTATCAGCACACCCCTGGGCCCAGTACAGGAAATGGTATATAAAATATTCTCTTCTTGGAGATTTACAATGTACAGCTCTGCAGAAGAGAACTCCAGTGAACTTTGTGTAACTCAGGATTTTCCATACTTCTCAGGCCACAGAACCATTTTTCTGTGTAGCATGTACTGTTCATGTCCCAAGGAATAAGATTTGGAAAATAATACATGTAAAGCATCTTACATGAAACAGGGCTCAATAAGTGCTAGTTAATAATTATTAATAATAGAGCCACAGATTAGAGGATCTTAGAAGGCTAGAATTGCTAAACATTCCATTTAAAGAATCATAGAAACAGAAAATATTAGGAACAGTACAGTTCCCGTAGAATAGTATTTTATGCATATACAATGATACTCTCATAGAAGATTAGTATGTCCCCAAAATAGAATTCTATTCAATTAAAAAATATACCTGGGTGCCTGGGAGGTGCCGGGCTCCCACTAGGAGAACAGAGGGCACAGATCCCATTTGGCTCTCAGGACCTAGGTTTGCAGCCTCAGAGGCCAGCACGCCGAGGAAGTGCAACATTGCTTTTTTTTTTTTTTTTTTTTGAGATGGAGTTTAGCTCTGTTGCCCAGGCTGGACTGCAGTGGCATGATCTTGGCTCACTGCAACCTCCACCTCCTGGGTTCAAGTGATTATTTTGCCTCAGCCTCCTCAGTAGCTGGAATTACAGGCACGTGCCACCACGCCTGGCTAATTTTTCTATTTTTAGTAGAGACGAAATTTCACCATGTTGGCCATGCTGGTCTCAAACTCCTGACCTCAAGCGATCTGCCTGCCTCAGCCTCCCAAAGTGCTGTGATTACAGGTGTGAGCCACCACGCCCAACCTCTTTTTATTTTTTTGAGACAGGGTCTCACTCTGTAGTCCAGGTTGGAGTACAGTGGTACAGTGTTGGCTCACTACAACCTCCCCTTCCTGAGCTCAATCGATCCTTCTGCCTCAGCCTCTGGAGTAGGTGGGACTACAGGTGTGCACCACCAAGCTTGGCTAATTTTTGTACTTTTTTGTAGAGATGGGGTCTCACTATGTTGTCCAGGCTATTCTCAAACTCCTGGGCTCAAGCAATTCTCCTGCCTTGGTCTCTCAGAATGCTGGGATTACAGGCATAAGCTACTGAGTCTGCCTCACATGATTTAAGGTCAAATAGAGCAAGGGATTTTACGTGAAGGCATCTGGTGAGGACTGTTAGAAAGGCTGGGCTCGGGTGGGTGCGGTGGCTCACGCCTGTAATCCCAGCACTTTGGGAGTCCAAGGTGGGTGGATCACTTGAGGTCAGGAGTTTGAGACCAGCCTGGCCAACATGGTGAAACCCCATCTCCAATAAAAAAAAAAAAAAAAAAAAAAAATTAGCTGGCTGTGGTGGCACACGCCTGTAGTCCCAGCTACTTGGGAGGCTGAGCAAGGAGGATCATTTGAGCCCAAGAGGCAGAGGTTGCAGTGAGCCAAGATCACGCCACTGCACTCCAGCCTGGGTGACTGAGTGAGACTCTGACTCTCAAAAAAAAAAAAAAAAAAAAGGGCTGGACTCCTCCAGAGAACTCAAAGAGGTTGGGGTCTCAAGAAAGAAGAGGGAGATTCCAGAAGGGTATGGCCACATCCCATGAGGTCTGGAAAGTGTCCCCAGGGTTTAGCAGCAGTGCAGTCATTGGAGCCCTCAGTGAGGGCAGTGACAGGGGTTGATAGGGTGGGAAGTTAGATGATGCAGCCCAGGGAAAAGTCTAGAAGGGGAGGAAGTGGAGACAGGGAGTGAGGATCGCCCCCTTGGTTGGGCAGGGTGGGAGAGAGGTGGGCAGCGACAAGCATCTTGGAGCAGGGCTGTGGCGTGCAGGGGGCAGGTGGGTTCATGAGGAGGTACTAAGGCCCAGTGGCTGGGATGCATGATGAACAGCTGGACTAGAGGCAAGAAGCTGTGCCTCAGTTCTGTAACCGGTGACCTGTGAGGACAGTGGAGACTCAAAGAGAAGGGGACAGTCTGGGGCCCTGTGTGAGTTGCTCAAGGTGAGGATAAGATGGTGGTCTTCCAACTGGGCTCTGGGTGAATGTGTTAGGACCCACCGGGGCAGGGAGGATGGAGGGAGGAAATCAGCTTCGATCTGTGTAATTGGAGTTCTGCATACAATTTCATATGAGTGTCCAGTTTCTGTTTTCCTTCCCTTCAATTTTTCTTCCCTAGACTTTATTTTTTAGAACAGTTCCAGATTTACAGAAAAATTAAGAAACTAGGGCAGAGAGTTCCCAGACGCCTGCTCCTCTTTTTCCCAGAGTATGAACGTCTTACATGAGTGTGGTGCATTTGTTATAATTAGTGGACCAATACGGATGCATTATTATTTACCAGAGGGCATAGTTTATGCAGAGTTCCTCAGTTTTTTGTGTGTGTTTTTTTTTTTTACCCAATATCTTTTGTCTATTTCAGGATTCCACACTGGATACCACATTCCACTGAGTTATCATGTTTCTTTAAGCGCCTCATGGCTGTGATAGTTTCTTAGACTTTCATTGGTTTCTGATGACCTTGACAGTTTTGAGGAGTACGAGTCAGGTATTTTGCAGGATGCCCCTCTGTTGGAATTTGTCTGCTGTTTTTCTCATGATTAGGTGAGGGTTATGGGTTTCTGGGAGCCTCCACTCCTCCCACCCCTGTTTTCTAAGATCACTGTATTTAAACATAACATCTCAATGCCAAAAACCCATATTTGTGGGTTCAGAAGGCAGCTCAGGACTTGCTCCCATTGTTCAGTCATGTCTGTAAACAAAGGCTCCAGGCTCTGACCTTGATAAACAGGGACTTCCTTCCCTCGGATGACATCCTCAGGAGCTGGAGGTGATCCTTGGAGCCCTGTCCTTGCCTTTTCCACACACCCTTGTTTTTTCCCAGTGTGACGACCCCTCGTGGTTCCTCGGAGACCCAGCCCCACGCTGTTGGCAAATGACAGCAGGCCTGGCGTTCTTCCTGCTGCTAGAGACCCTTGGGCAAGCCCTTGAAAGGTTGCCCCCACTTTCTATGGACTTTCCCTGACTCACTCCACAGATTTTCCTTGAGGTCAGACATTCTTTTTAGAGGCTGATTCAAGGCACAATTATCCCACCAGGAAGGATGCAGGTGGATTGACGACATTTTCCTCTATGACACAGAGCTCGCATTTGTGTTGAGAGTCAGGAATGCCGGTTTTCCTATGGCTGCGTTCTCCTTGGGGCTCTGTACTGGTCTCCTTGTGTGACCCTGGGCAAGTGTCTCCCCCTATGAGTGGCCATGCTGGAGGACTTCAAGATCCCAGTTATTGTTGGGAGCCATGGGCACAGCCAGCTGGCTGTGGGTGGGGCTCCAAGTGGAGATTCCCCAGCTGGACCCATTCCCATCCAATTTTGTCAAATGCTGCACAGATCTTTCCTAATTTCCCAAATGGGAAAATTTCATGGCAGCCATGGTTGGCCCTGCCCTAAACCCTGAACCCTGAGGTCACACCGGCCTTCTCAGCCTGAGCATGGGATGGCCCTATACCCGGTCCGCAGACCAAACTCTGCTGGGGCATTTCTGGTACCATGGCCAGACTGGGCCTTCCCATCAAAAGTTCCTCTCCAGTCTGTTTATCTATAGCCAGAGGGCACCCCCACACCATTTGTGGGATTCTTTGTCTGAAGTATGCTGCCCCTCTAGACCAGGACGGGTAAACTGTTTCTGTAAAGGGCAGGGAGCAAATATTTGCAGACTTATGGGTCATTTGATCTTTGTCACCACCACTCAACTTTGCCATTGTAGCATGAAAGCAGCTGTGGGCAAACTGTAAATGAATAAATGTGGCTGTGTTCCGATAAAACTGTATTTGCAAGTCCAGGCAGTGGGCTGGATTGGGCCCGCAGTGGGTAGTTGGCTGATCCCTGCTCTAGACTGCCATCTCCATGAGGGTGGGGAGCATGTCTGCCTTAGCCCACTGTTGTTTTCTTTCTGGCACCCAGTCCAGTGCTTGGAATGATCCTTCCTTTCTTCAGTACATTGACATGTTCTTTTTTGCACCTATCATTTAGATTCCAAGAAGCTGACAAAGTGAGATTTTAATGCACCCAAAAGAAACTTTCCTCCTCATTGAAAATTCTGAAAGCACACAGTCCATCTACCTGTCATTGTGTGTGAAATTCCACTACTAGGACCATTCCTTTCAATTAGACTGGATGGCTTTGACATCAATGACAATTTGACATGGTGAGGCAATTCAGCAGTCACTCAGATATGCTCTGAGCTCTAGGAGGATGGGCTTGGGATAGACACGTTTTAAAGGAGGACAAAGTGAGGGTCAGAGTCTGAGGTCCTGCCCTGGAGGGCAGGCTTGGGTCAGGTACCTCATTACGGGTGATGTGGAATATGGGGAGCTTTGTGGGGTCACAGGGAACCGGGGATAGCCTGAGAGAAGGGCTTTTTGAGGAGGTTCAAAGGCCTAGACCGGAGTTGACAAAAATATGGCCTGGATGGTTAACTTCATCTTCAGCACAATTTTGTGGAAGGCTGCACAGTTCTTTTCTGATCTTTCAAATGGGAAAATTTCATGGCAGGCTTGGCTGGTCCTGTCCTAAACCTTGAACCCCCAGGCCAGACAAGTCTCCTCAGCTTGGGCACTGGATGGCCCTTCTGTTAGTGATATCTAGTTTACAGACCAAGGTCTGGGAGAAATTGAACCATAGAGTTCACCACCAGCTCCACCACCATCATCGTCACCTCCATTATCACCACTATCAACACTTATCTTTTGTCACTACCATCATCACCACCACCATCTCCATCAACACTTATCCCTCACCACTACCATCACCATTACCACCACCATCATCACCACCATCACAACCACCACCTGCTCCTTTACCATCACTACCATCACCACCACTGCCACCTTTTCCTTCCCCATCCTCACCACCATCACCATCACTATCATCATCACTTCCATCATCATCACCATCATCATCACCATTACAACCACCACCTACCCCTTTATCATCACTACCATCACCATCATCACAACCACCACCTAACCCTTTATCACCACCACCACCATCATGACCACCATCACAACCACCACCTGCCCCTTTACCATCACTACCATCACCACCACTGCCACCTTGTCCTTCCCCATCCTTACCACCATCACCATCGCTATCATCATCACTTCCATCATCACCACCATCAACATTTATCTTTCATCACCACCATCATCATCACCATTACAACCATCACCTACCCCTTTATTATCACCACCATCACCATCATCACAACCACCACCTACCTCTTTATCACCACCATCACCATCATCACAACCATCAAAACCATCACCTACCCCTTTATCATCACATCACCATCATCACAACCACTACCATCATCACAACCATAACAACCACCACCTACCCCTTTATCACCACCACCATCATCACAGCCATCACAACCACCACCTTTATCATCACCACCATCACCACCACCACCATTCCCACCACTCCCACCACCACCTTGCCCTTTCCCATCCTCACCACCATCACTATCACTACCACCACCACTGCCACCATTACCACCACTCCTTCCACCACCACGAGTTCTACCACTATTGCTACCACCTTCACCTTTATCATCTCCACTCCTACAACCACCACAATGTCTATTACCACCTTTGCCACCATCGCCATCACCACCACCACTGTCACTATGGGCCAGCTGCTGATGGCTTCTCCTGTCCTGGGGCTTGAGCCTTACCTTGCCTACATGATGGGGCAGTGAGGTGTTTTTCTCTTCATCAATGTGCATCTGGTTCCAAATCCAGTCTCTCTTTTGGCGCCGATGGGTGGGCAGCAGGCTGGGGGTGTCCCGTTGGGCAGGGTTAGCACCTGCTGCTGCTGCTGCTGCCGCCGCTGCCAGCAGACCCAGGCAGGCGCCCGATGTGGCGACCAGCATCATGAGCCTCTGCATCTTCCCAGGAGGAACAGATCTGGGGAAAGAGGAGACACCTTCAGACTCTGTCTGAGTGACGGATGAAAGGAGTGCTTAGACACAGGTATTTTGCATGAGAGCAGCTAGCTATAATGCTAAAAGCTTGGGGCAAACGTAATCTGCGGGTAATTAACATTATCATTCCACCTTTCAGGGAGCAGTCAGGCACTCGGATGAGCAAAGGTAGGTTTTAGGACAACATGAGTAAACAAGCCCATTTAGGATACATTTCCCTACACTTCCTTGTACCTACTTCTCACCCTCTGCCTCAGGGTAGAACAGCTGCCTTCTGCTTATTCTTCCCCGAAGTTATGCAAAACCTTCTGACCTTTCCAGAAGGTTTGCGTCCTTTCCCTATAATTTCTTCCACCACTCTGAGCCATCTCCCGCATGTGGTGGCCACTGCCTAAGGGTGTGAGCAGCTCCCACAGGGAACCGAACTCCCTTTATCTATTCACTGCTTCATCCTTCACTGTCTGCTGACACCAGCAGAACCAGACCCCCTTCATGCCTTGATGAATTCCGAACGGGGAAGGTGAAAACAGATGTGGAAACCATTTCTACCTGTGAGTCTTGTGCTAGGATGGAAGCAAGTGCAGGGGATATGGGAGCCCACAGGAGGGCCTGTGGGGAAGGTCTCCAGGAAGAGGGTGTGAGGCTGATGCCAATGGCAGCTCCTAAGTCCCCAGGCATTGGGTGGTCAGGTTATCCTCATTGTTCAAATGAGGAAACTGAGGCACACAGATGTTAAGTTCACATTGTAGTAAGTGGTGGGACTCAGATGGGAACCCAGGTGTCTGATAGCTAATCTTTATCAAGCACTTATTTTTTGCCTGGCACTGTTTCAAGCACTTTATATGTCTTATCTATTTAATATTCCCCATCATCCTCCAGGTTGGTGTAATGATAACCCTCATTTTGCAGAAGAGGTACAGAGAGGTTTCTGAACATTCCTGAAATCACCTAAACTGTAAGGAGCACAGCCAGGATTTGAACCAAGGTTGTCTGGCCCAGAAGTTCAAGTCCTTTCCTCCTGCCTTCCCTTGTCCCAGCAGCTGCTATGGGGTAGGATTTAAAGCCTCCTCTCGGCAGACGTCCTCCTGCCTGAAAGCCCCTTTGACAACTTTGCATTGATTCTGTCTTCAGAAGGCTCTTAGGAAAATCCAACTGTCTTAACCCTGAGGGCCAGTCCTTCACTCCAGATCTTACAGTGAGTGGTCAGCTTTGCTGTCAGAAGAGCAGGGGTGGGTGGGGTGGTGAGTTGAGGGTCTGGGTTCATAGGAATGGCTTCCTAATTTGTGTGGCCCAGTGCAAAAGAATTTTAAGAAGGAGACAGAACATTAAACCAAGCATGAGGCCCTTTGAAATGCAAGCCCTGTACAGTTGCACAGGATGCACAGTCTCCAAGGCAGGTCTGTAGGGTACGGATGTGGGTTAACCAGAGATCAAGGCCTGGCTTCATGCTGAATTCCAGGAACAGGGGTTTTCTCTACTGCCCCATGAGGAGTGCGGGCTGTGACCTTGGCCATTAGCATGTTCTCTCAGCCCTGACTCTGTCTTTCCACCCTCCGGGGTCCCTGTGTTACTGACTTGCAGCTCCTGGGATGATGTAGAGGAAGAACAGCTGGGTGGGAGAGGGAACCAGGGCTCACATCTGGAGGCACATAAGGATCTACAAGGTGCTGGATGGGATGGCCTCCTCCCTTGACTGTCTCCTGCCTGGCCACAGGGAGAGGCTGGACTCTGTACATCACAAGAGGTTTGTAAACTCTAGTAACATTTCCCCTGATTTACTGGCGCCGGGCTGACCTCAGTGAGGGCTGAGGGTGTCTGTGCTGGGCCAGCTGACCTCTGGACCCACTGATTTTAGTATCGACGGCCCCTGCCTTCTGGTTCCTGTCTCTGGCCCTGGAGGAAGTGGACTCCCCGGGTGGGGATAGGCCCCAGAATGCAGGTGCCATATGCCTGGGGGATGCCCTGACCCCTCTGGGCCTCAGTTTCCTCAGCCATAAATGAGGGGGTCAACCTGGAAGAGACTTGAGGCCCTTGAAGGATGCTCTAGGCAGGAGGAAGGTGGTGAGCAAAGGCTTAGAGAAGAAGGGGGGCAGATTGGAAGTCCTGGCCAAGAAGCTGGTCCCTGACTCAGGGGAGGCGGCAGGCATGACCCCTACCCCAGCCTCACTGGGTCCAGACCCTGTGGCTCATTTCCTTCTTTGTCCAGAAAGGAAGTGCAAGTCTTGATTCTTTCTTCCTCCCTCAAATGAGAAGTGACTCAAAGATGACAAAGTGAAAACAGACAGAAGCGAAAATGAGAAACAGGGAGAGGGAGAGTTCTCAGGGCAAACAGGACAGGGTGAGCGCCCAGGCTCTGAGCTGATAGGTGCTGGGTGCCTACTGCATGATGGGCTCCATGCTAGGCAGTGGGGGTGCCTCAGTGAGTGAGACAGATGGAGCCTGCTCTTGGGGAGTGTGCAATAATGGGAACAACAGGAAAATAAGTAAGTCAATGAGGAAACATATCAGTTGGCAATCAGAGACGTTCAAGGAATTACAATGGGAGGTGCCACAGAGAGTGAGGGGGCAGCTGACTGGGCCTGTGAGGCCAGGAAGGCCTCTGGGAGAGCTGATGTTTCAGCCCACATCTGAGTGCCAGCCACAGGACTGCCAGGAAAGGGAAGGGAATTCCAGGCAGAAGCGCTGTTGCTGGTCTCTGGGTACCTCAACATCCGAGCCTACCTCTGTGCAGGCAGTGGTTGGTTTCCTTAAGGCAGCCCACCTCTCTGTAGCAGTCCCTTCATAAAATCTCTGCAATTGGCCTCCCAGGGTTTGCTCTGTTTCCAGCTGGGAACCCTATCTCTAATACAGTGAACGGGAATGTGGTTTTCTCCTTCCTGGGGCCTGTTGGGACGGGTTAGTGATCCCTATGGCTGACCGCAGCCAGCAGTCAAATGGATAAATAACAGTTGTGTGCTGCAAAATGACTTTTTGGTCAACAATGGACTGCACACACGACTGTGGTCCCCTAAGGTTTTAATGGAGCTAAAAACTCCTCTGCCCTAGTGACACTGCAGCCATCGTGACGTCGTAGCACAAGTCATTACTTGTGTTTGGGGTGATGCTAGTGTAGACCAACTTTATAAAAAATGTTATATTAGGGTGGTACACAAGTAATTGTGTGCTTTATTTATTTATTTATTTATTTATTATTTTTCCTTTGAGACAAGTTTTGTTCTGGAGTGCAGTGGTGCGATCTCAGCTCACTGCAACCTCTGCCTCCCAGGTGCAAGTCATTCTCCTGGCTCAGCCTCCCAAGTAGCTGTGTCTACAGACGCCTGCCACCACGCCTGGCTAATTTTTGTATTTTTAGTAGAAATGGGGTTTCACCATGTTGGCCAGGCTGGTCTCAAACTCCTGACCTCAGGCAATCCGCCCGCATCAGCCTCCCAAAGTGCTGGGATTACAGGCATGAGCCACCGCACCCGGTGGCTTTTTTTTTTTTTTAATGGTAAAAACAGCAATTACTTTTGCACTACCCTAATAGTAAACTAAAGTTAATTTCTTATTGATGAGAGAAAAATATTTTTAAGTAAATTTAGTGAAGCTAAGTGTACAGTGTTTATTAAGTCTATGGCAGGGTGAAGTGATGTCGTAGGCCACTCACTTCCTGACTCGCCCAGAGGAATTTCTAGTCCTGGAAGCTCCACTCACGGTAAGTACCACAGAGAGGTATACCATTTTTTATCTCTCTCTTTTTTTTTTTTTTTTTTAGATTGAGTCTCCCACTGTCACCCAGGCTGGAGTGTGGTGTGAATGTGTGTGGAGTGGAATATGAATGTGTGTGTGGCTCGCTACAGCCTCAAACTCCTGGGCTCAAGCAATTCTCCCATCTCAGCCCCGTGAGGAGGTACGTGCCAGCACATCTGGCTAATTTTTAAATTTTTTTGTAGAGATGGTTGGAGTGCGGAGGGGTCTGACTATGTTGCCCAAGCTGGTCTTGAACTCCTGCCTCAAGTGATCCTCCTGCGTTGGCCTCCCAAAGTGCTGGGATTACAGGTTCCTTTTTTATCTTTTACATGGGATTTTTACTGTATCTTGCCTGTATTTAGATATGTTTAGATACATGAATACTTGCTGTCGTGTTAAAATTGGCTGCAGCATTTAGTATAGTACCATGCTGCACAGGTATGGAGCCTAAGAGCAATAGACTGTACCATCCAGCCCAGGTGTGCAGCAGGTTATACGATCCAGATTTGTTTGTGTAAGCACACTCTGATGTTTGCACAACAGCGAAATCACCTGAACTCGTTTTTCAGAGTGTATCCCAGTCATTAAGATGCATATCACACACCGGGGCCTGCCGTGGGCTCGGGGGGAGGGAGGAGGGATAGCATTAGGAGATACACCTAATGTAAACGACGAGTTAACGGGTGCAGCACACCAACATGGCACATGTATACATATGTAACAAAACTGCACATAAAAACAGCAATTACTTTTGCACTACCCTAATAGTAAACTAAAGTTAATTTCTTATTGATGAGAGAAAAATATTTTTAAGTAAATTTAGTGAAGCTAAGTGTACAGTGTTTATTAAGTCTATGGCAGGGTGAAGTGATGTCGTAGGCCACTCACTTCCTGACTCGCCCAGAGGAATTTCTAGTCCTGGAAGCTCCACTCACGGTAAGTACCACAGAGAGGTATACCATTTTTTATCTCTCTCT